CCCCGTACACTATCTTCTTGGAAAAGTAAAATTCTTTCATTGTTTTACAAACCGTCCCCCAGGTCCACTCCACTATGCAGCCTTTGCTTTGGACTCCCGTCATGACAAATATACCTAATCACATATCCCTTTTAAGCAGTTTTCTCCCTTATCTGTTTCAATGCAGTATACATTATTGAACCCATCTTTCTCAGTCTCCCTCTAACCCCCGATGTCCGTCCTGTTTTACAACAGTGGCACCATGCAGAATTTCTCCTTTTGTGACTGAGATACTTCACTCAGCATAATGTCCTCCAGGGTCACCCATTTTGAACTGTATTGCATGAGTTCCTTGTTTTTCAATGCAGTGTAGTATTCCATTATGTGAATATACCACAGCTTCTCTATCCATTGGTTTTTTGATGGGCACTTAGGTTGTTTCCAACTCCTTGCTATTGTGAACAAAGCCGGGATAAACATGGGTGTGCATATATCTGCTTGGATGTCGGTTATGGTCTCTTTGAGGTATATTCCCAGTAGTGGAATTGCTGGGTGAAATGGGATCTCTATTAGCAACTTTTTGAGAAAGCTCCATATCGCCTTCCACCAACACCATTTTACACTCCCACCAACAGTGAATAAGGGTTCCAGTTTCTCCACAACCTCGCCAGCGTTTGTTGCTTGCTGTTCCGTTAAATTTTGTTATTCTGTCTGAGGTGAGATGATATCTCATAGTTGTTTTAATTTGCATCTCTCTTAGAGCTAGGGATTTTGAACAGTTCTTCATGTGCTTGTTGGCCATTTGAATGTCTTCTTTGGTGAAGTGTCTATTCATATCCTGTGCCCATTTTTCAATTGGATTATTAACCTTTATCTTGTTGTGGTGCTCAAGTATTTTATAAATTCTGGATATAAGTCCCTTATATGATATGTCATTACCAAATACTTTTTCCCAGTCTGTGGTTTCCCTTTTTACCCTGTTGGAGAAGTTTTTTGGATGTACATAGGGATTTGATACTTAGAAGGTCCATTCATCTATTTTAGCTTCTCCTCGTTGTAGGTGTCCTATATATTCTTAATTTTAAACATCTTAATCTCAGTCTTAAACACAAGGGAGTTCTAGAGACTTCTAAATTACTATTTGAATTGCTATTGTGTATTTTTGTTGTTAAAATTTGTTTAAGAGTGATGAATAATGATTTTAATGAAAGTATATTGTTTTTCAGGTTCTCAAAATTTTTCCAGCATCATGAACTTGGAGAAACCTGTTATTTGTGCTTTAGCAGCCATAATAAAATACCTCAAAGAATTTAACTTGGAAAAAATTCTCTACAAGCCCAAGTAAGAAATTTCTCAAAAATGACATAATAAAAAAAAATAATGAAGTTATGTTAATAGTACTTCTTAAATTGGATTTGATAACAACTATACTTGCAAAGGCTTACCTGCTGTTGATAGAATACCATTGGGTACAAGGTTGAACTATTTGGTAATGTTACTGTGGGATATTAAAAAATATATACTTTTTAAAAATAATACTGATAGAATCTTTGAGAATCCTGTCAGTAATTTGTATTCATGATAACCATTTAGTGTATAATATTGACTTACTATCTTTGACTATAATATTGTAGTTTATACCTATTGTATTAAGAATCAGTATCAAGACAATTTCGTCACCTTTCTTGATTCTGGTTTTACTTCTTATTTTGTAGACCAAGAAGTTGCAGGTAAAAGGCCAGCTACTTATTCTCTCTAGCTTTTCCAATGTTGTATAGTATTTTACAAAATTGTTGCTCCTGAGTGCTGCATAGTATTTCTTTGTATGGATGTGCCACATTTTCTCAGTCCATTTTTTTGTTGATGGACATTTGGGCTGTTTCTATGTTTTGCAACTGTGAATAATGCTGGTATGAACATTAGTGTATAAATCTCCATTTGTTTCTCAGTTCTATTTTCCTTGGGGTATATTCCTACCAGTGAAATACCTGGCTCGTATGAAATTTCTTTGTTCAGCATTTTGTGGAAATGCCAAACTATCTTCCAGAGTGATTGTACCATTTTACAATCCCACCAACAGCGTATGACAGCTCCAGTCTTTCCAAACCCATTCCAACATTTATTGCTTGTTGTTAAACTTGGCCACTGCTAGAGAGTATTTCGTTGTGGTTTTGGTTTGCATCTCTTAAACTTCCAATGATTTTAGCATTTCTTCATGTGTCTGTTGGACATCTGTCTTCCTCTGTGAAAAGTCTTTCCATGTCTGTTTCCCATTTGTAAGTCTCTTTCTTGCAGAGGCCCAGCAGTATTATATAAAGTTTCATTGTAAGACTCTTGTCTGAGATGTCATTGCCAAATGTTTTTCTATTCTGTATGTTTTCTTTTCACCCTATTTGGAAAAGCTTTTGATGCACCCAGGTACTTAATCTTTAGAAGACCTCATTCACTGATGTTATACTCTCCTGCTTGTTCATTTTTACTATATTTACCAGCCTGTTTATACCATAGAGCTTCTAAGTTTGGCTCCATTTTAACTTTTATCATCTTTATGGTTTGGAGCTTTACCCCTAGATCTCTGATCCACCTTGAATTGGTTTTTGTATATGGTCTGAGATATGGCTCCTGCTTCAACTTCCTGCAGGTCTAGTTGTGCCAGCACCATTTGGTGAAGAGGTTCTCCTTTCCTCATTTCATAGGTTTTGTTTTCTTTGTCAAATACCAGTTGACCTAGGTTGGTTGGTTGGTTGGCAAGTGCCATCGAGTCATAGATGACTCATAACGACCCTATGAATGAATGTCCTGAACACATAGAACTTTGACGGTGTCTCTAAGTTTATAGAGTTTCTGGAGGCAAGCTATTTTGGAAGTGGATGTCACTAATGTTTCCAAGCCTGTTTTAATTTGGGAGCTCTACCAAACACTGTCCACCTGGGTAACCATTATCACATTTGCCACATCAGTGTCACAGTGTTTAAAATCACAGAAAATTGACAGATCAGTGCTATACCACTTAGAAGAATATTTGACTGAAAACAATTAAAACCAGGCCGGAGGGTCACAGGCTCGAGTACCAAAATGCCTTTTTAAATACATCGAAATCTGAGCAAGAGTTCATAACCAACCCTCAACCAAAACAGAAAACACACCTTTGTAGAATCCAGTTCCTCTACTCATCTTCTCAACCTGGAAAGCAGCTGCAAACTGGTGACAAAATGCTTTTTTTAAAAATACTAAGCCAGATTCATTGAGCTCACAACCAGTTGCAGGCAACAGTCCACACCCAAATCTCAGCCAAAACAGAAAACACAGCTTTGTAGAATCAAGCTGCTCCATTCATCTTCCCAATTCTGTTGCACTGGTCTATGTGCCTGTCATTTATACCAGTGCCATATTTTGATTATTAATGATATGTAGTAGGTTTTGAGATCAGGGACCGCTATGTCTCCCACTTCATTCTTGTTCTTCAGAAGTTCTTCAGAAGTGCTTTGCTTGTTTTGGGTCTCTATTCTTTCCAATAAATGTGCCAGTTTACCTTTTCTATGTCTTTGAAGAAGTTAACTTCCTCGTCATCAACTGAGTGACCTGAGGAACTTGGACAAGCCTGGTAATTCCGTAAGCTTCATCTTTAATTGTAAAAATATTAATAAAAATGCCTACTAAAAATTGAGATTGGTATTATTATTGGAATTACATTAAACATGTAGATTGTTTTGGTAGGATTGCCATTTTCACTATATTGAGTATTTCTATCCATGAAAAGGGAGCATATTTCCATTTAGTTTAGTCTTTTATTGTTTTTTGCCATAGTGTTTTGTAGTTTTCTTTATAAGGGTGTTTTGTGTCTCTAGTTAGATTTGGTTCCTAACTGTTTCACTTTGTGGTTGGCTGTTGTAAATCATATTCCTTTCTTAGTTTCCTTTTCTTTATTTTCTTTGTTACTGTAGTTTAATTCCACTGATTTTTGTATATTGCTCTTATATCCTGCCACTCTCCTTCCATTTTTACTTCTCTACTACATTTGGAACAATGTGTCAACAGAGAACTGCCAGATATGCAGGCTGGGTTTAGAAGAGGTCATGGTAGTAGGGATATTATAGCTAATGGCAGATGGATCTTGGCAGAAAGCAAAGAATACCAGAAGAATGTCTAGCTGTGCTTCATTGACTGTGCAAAGGCTTTTGACTATGTGAATCACAACTAGCTGTGGCTGACTCTGAGAAGAATGGAAAGCCCAGAACATTTGATTGTGCTAATGCGAAACCTGTATTTTGACCAAGAGGCAGTCGTCAGAGCAGAGCAAGGAGGCACTGGATGGTTCAAAAGCAAGAAAGGGGTTCGTCAGGGATGTATTTTGTCTCCATACCTTTTCAATCTGTATGCAGAACAGATCATCTGAGACGCTGGGCTCTATGAGGAGGAATGTGGCATCAGGATTGGTGGAAGA